ATTATTATATATATATATATATATATATATATATATTTCTTAGATTTTAAATTTTATTAATTTTAATTATATTAAATATATTTTAAATATACATATTAATTAAGAATTTATGCGGAATATGTTTATTAGACGCGAATGGATTTTGATAAAATTTTAATTATAAAAAATGCAAAAAAATATAATAATATGATTTTTATAATAATTGTTATAGAATAAACTGTAATATTTGTTTATTAATTTATAATTTGGCAAGTATTATTTATAGTTTAGCAACATTTCTTGTGAGGAAATGAAAAATAGAAGAAAATAAGTGTTTGTCATACACGAAGAATTATTATACTATGCGTAATTATACTAATGCGTAATTCTTTCATTATACAAAAATCATGTAAAAATAACAATGTATTGATGAGATCGTGTATCATGCATTTTATAAAATGCATTTATAAAATACGTAGTTAATGGATAAAATAATCAAAAATGATGAAAGAAAGAAAACAAATAAAAAAAGAGTTTTTTTTTTATATAATACAAAAAATTTTTATTTTGTGTTTTATAAATTTCTTTCCTAATAAAATCTTTATTATTTTCATTTTAGATAATAATATAATATAATAAAACTGATCGATTTTTGTTTAATAACGATTTTTGTTTGTTCAATTTATTAGGAATATTTAAAATGAGCTTACAAATCATGAATTAATATCGATTCTATTTATTTTAATGTAGTTATAAAGAAATAAAATAAATTGGAATAAATTTTAAATTTGTGCTAGTTTTATAAATACGTGATATCATCGCAATAATTTTCAATACAAGAAGTTTCATCTGAACGATACATATTTGGTGATAACCCTGAATTGGCAAAACATGAAATTAACACAGTCAACGAACGGCATTGAAATTTAGTTACCAAGTGAATGTTAAACCGTATTGTTCTAGTTATTCTTATCCTAGATTCTATAAATCTTATCATTATCGCTGATATGATCAAATGAAAAATATCTTTTCCGTTCGTTTTATCACTAAAGGCGAACATTTAAAGATGAATTCGTTGTTTCGTTTCGCAAGATATAGTTATATTAAAAGTAAAACAAAAACCACGAGATTAAGCTATTAAATATATATATATATATAATATATTTAAAATGATAATATTTGATATAATATTTAATAATACAATATTCGATATGTGACAAACTGAAAATCAATATATGTTATTATATAATAGAATAGAATAGAATAATAATAGAAAATTAAACTATTTTAAATTAGTAGTCTGATATAAATCCGGCACAAATTATTTCAATATATCACATAGTTACATATAAAGCCATTATACAAAGAAATTTATTTTTTCTTA